CGTGTAATTGCCGCGCACAGCCGGCGGAGCTGTCAATATCAGAATACTTAACTTTTCAACTTTGCTCGCGTTGTTCCGGAAAGTGCAACGATTGAGTCCTCTTCTGAGCGAGGGGAAAAATCGGAGCAATCCATATAATTGATTCCCCCCTCCCCCCTTCCCTCCTCCAATTCCCGCGCGGAATTCTCTTCTATCGCGACTTTTTCGAAGCATTAATGTAACGCAATTAATGTAACGTGAGGGTATTGAGACCGTATAAAATTAAATATAATTAAAACACGGCTCAGTGAGCTATATTATAAAGATATAAGATTAATACAATATGCAATATTTTTCGAGATTTGAAAATAAAAGGAATTAAGGTGAGCAAGGAGAGAAAACGAGAGAGTGAAAATCGTTGCTCGTGATCTTTCGTAAGCGGCATTTTACGCATTCACGTTAGCTCCAGAGACGCTCCGGAGTTCGGATGGTTGCACGGTGAAATTTACTTCCTCGCTCCCGGAAGTCGCGTTATTCCTTCCGGACGGAGGCGAGTCCCGAGAGCCGTCTACCAACATTATAGACACGGTGCTTACAGTGCTCTCCCCACAACGGGGCGAGTCAATACTTTATAGTTCGAAGTGAACTCGCTCGCTCGCTCGCTCGCTCGCTCGTTCGCTCGTCGTACTTCGCTATCACCCCGTCGTCGCACCACCCTCTTCGCTAGGAACCGTCATGGAGGGTGCCAAGAGCATCGGGGGCTTTACATTGCTTCTCCTGCCCCTTTCTGCCCAACGCCACGCGCAAATACAACCGACGTATCGCGAGCTCTGTCACTCTACAAATATCCTTTGCGAGGAGCACGAGGAGTAGAGCGTGTAAAAGAGGATGACTCGGGGAAAAATTTACTGTCCAACATTTGATAAATAATGAGAAAAATTGACTTGAAAATTCAGTCGTAAAAACGGATTGAAATTTTAAATTATGTTTTATATAATTATTGATTTGGACTCTTCGTTAATTTGTTGCTTTTTGTTGATAAAGAGATTATGAAAGAATATATGAAATTAAAAGCTTTATGAAAATTATTATAAATTTATTGTGAAAAATTTAAAAAAAACTTGGCAAACAAAAATAAATGCTTTTTATGCTATTTATTGGATTATTAAGATCGAATCGCATCGATATTCGAATATTTCTGGACAGTCGACAAAATAAAATTGATGAAATATCTACAATTCACCTCGTCATGCTTATTGTAAATTTATATTTAAGATTAATATGTATACAATTAGAAAATATTCTATTATAAAATATTCTTGCAAGAATCTGTTGCAAGAATAGTCATGACTCTTATGACCACATATTCATTGAATTAAAATAACTTGTGATAGTATGCATATTTTATCAAAGAGCCAAAGTCTAAAAAGATAAGAAGTTGCTGCGCTATCGTAAAAAGTCACATCTTAATTCTCATTAAAAATGGGTAATCTTTAAATGTCTTTTCAGTTAAACAGTTGCAACGTGGCGAATGATACGTGAGATATAAATATTTCCAACTCATATATTTAAAACTCTAATATTTAAAATTAATCTGATATCTGTAAATCATCGTTCGATTCGCAATTAGCGAAACGACGCGTGCAGAAATCTTGTTGCATAAGGTTTGTGACCGGAAGATTGACGATTTATTATAAAGCAACCGTCAGTCTTAGCGAGAAATCGTGGGGGGAGGGGGAGGGAGGGGAAGTGGCGAGTATCTAGGTCTGTGTAACGATTTTTAGAGTCTCGACCCTACGATCGTTCGGGCCATAAAAAACTTGAGGCACCCCACAGTAGTCGAAGAGCCAGGGTTTCCATAGCGACGAAGCCCTTTCGCTCTTCGCCCGCAAGGCTCCCTTTGCCCTGTTCTGCGGTAACCTACCGGCTGCCGTTGCTACCACCCTTAACGCGCCGTACCGGCCTCGAATCCTGGAGATATACGTCATGTAACATGAGCGCGACACAACCAGCCAAGGACCGATGGAAATTGCCCAGTCGATCGCTCGGT